CACACAGCTAAAATAATGAAGGAGTGGCTTCACAACAACTCCGTGACTGTTCTTGAATGGCCCAGCCAGAGCCCTGACTTAAAACCCATTGAGCATCTCTGGAGAGACCTGAAAATGGCTGTCCACCCACGTTTACCATCCAACCTGACAGAACTGGAGAGGATCTGCAAGGAGGAATGGCAGAGGATCCCCAAATGCAGGTGTGAAAAACTTGTTGCATCATTCCCAAAAAGACTCATGGCTGTATTAGCTCAAAAGGGTGCTTCTACTAAATACTGAGCAAAGGGTCTGAATACTTATGACCATGTGATATTTCAGTTTTTCTTTTTTAATAAATCTGCAAAAATGTAAAAAATTCTGTGTTTTTCTGTCAATATGGGGTGCTGGGGTACATTGAGGGAAAAATGAACTTAAATGATTTTAGCATATGGCTGCAATATAACAAAGAGTGAAAATTTTAAGGGGGTCTGAATACTTTCTGTACCCACTGTACAACAGCGTCGCTTTGTAGTAAAACAGTGCGGGTATTAAAATGACCTGCCTGCAGTCCAGAACTGTCTCCCATTGAAAATGTGTGGCGCATTATGAGGTGCAAAATACCACAACGCAGACCCCAGACTGTTGAGCAACTGAAGTTGTACATCAAGAAAGAATGGGAAAGAATTCCACCTACAAAGCTTCTACAATTAGTGTCCTCAGTTCCCAAAAGCTTATTAAGTGTTGTTAAAAGGAAAGGTGATGTAACACAGTGGTAAAAATACCCCCGTCCCAGCTCTTTTGGAACGTGTTGCAGGCATCAAATTCAAAATGAGTGAATATTTGCAAAAACCAATCAAGTTTATCAGTTTGAACATTAAATATCTTGTCTTTGTGGTGTATTCAGTTAAATATGGGTCAAAAAGGATTTGCAAGTCATTGTATTCTGTTTTTATTTACATTTTACACAATGTCCCAACTTCATTGGAATTGGGGTTTGTACATAGGTTTATGAAGAAGGAGCTGACGGGAGTCTCAGAAACAACCTATAAACAGTTCATGGGCCAAATGCAAACTAGTATAAATTTAAAATCTCTGGATAGATGCACTGCTCACAACACAGGGCCAAAATAAAAAATGTCAATAGGAAGCCAGCAGGGCTGTGCATCAAAACTGAAACCTTTTTTTGTTTATGATTTGTTAAGTGTCACTCTGACATGCCCTGCATACACTGACAACATTGTGGGTCACTACTCATTCCTTCTGCCCACAGTATCCCTCAAACAATAACTTCAGAGAGCGACAAACAGTAAAAATGTAACCAAGGATTATTAAGAGACCAATTGAATTCTAAAGGCATAACTCCTTAAACTTCTGAAGTGCACCATTTTAGGAGCTACCAAACAGATGCAGGTGCTCTAACTCTACACATCTCCATAGAAGCTGACAGGATGGAAACAGATTTGGTATCTCCAGGCAATGGAGGCACACATTTGTAGCTAAGTCTCTTAAATCTCATTAAGATTTTATAAAGAAATTAGTTTTAGATACAGTATTTATCCTATTAACTCCACTGTTAATATTAGAATTGGGGCGCAGAATCTGCAAAACTGGTTCCTTGTGTAACAGTTCAACTAAAGACACTAGGAGGCTTCAGTGGTCTGAGTCAGATAAATAAAGCAGTTATCTTCATCCCAGAAGTTTAACATCAAGACTTTGCCTCAGTATAACCTTAAGACAACAGTCACATTACAGGCCGTAATGCTCAGTCTTTTTGTGCTGATGGTTCACGTTCATCCATCCATTTTCCTCTGCTTATCCGGGACCGGGTCACGGGGGCAGCAGTCTAAGCAAAGATGCCCAGACTTCCCTCTCTCCAGACACTTCCTCCAGCTCCTCCGGGGGAATTCCGAGGCATTCCCAGGCCAGCCGAGAGACATAGTCCCTCCAGCGCGTCCTGGGCCTTCCCCGGGGCCTCCTCCCGGTGGGACATACC